AAGATTATTACAACTTATATTTCATATACCTTATGGTGACACTAAATTCAAAAATAAAATCTCTATGTTGAATTTAATTATGATTTATATAATATATTCCTTATGGTGACACTATATTCAAAAATAAAATTTCTATGTTAAGCATTATTACAACTTACATTATATATTCCATATGGTGACACTAAATTCGAAAATAAAATCTCTATGTTGATTTAATTATGATTTACATGCCTTATGGAGACGCTAAATTCAAAAATAAAATCCCTATGTTAAACATTATTACAACTTATAATATATATACCTTGTGGTGACATTAAACTCGGATTATATTTAATGTTAAACTTAATCATGATTTTTATTATATATTCTTTATGGTGCTCCAAGTTCAAAAATAAAATCTCTATGTATTACAACTTTTATTATATATATCTTGTGGTGATATTAAACTCTGATTGTATTTTTATGTTAAATTTTGACATTTATACTAAAAATTCTAAATGGTGACACTAAATTCAAAAACAAAACCTTTATGTGAATTTAATTATGATTTAAATTTTTATGAGGACGCTAAATTTAAAGATAAAATCTCTATTTTAAACATTATTACAACTTATATAATTTTCTGGTGGTGACATTAAACTCTGATTGTATTTAATGTTAAAGTTTATCATGATTAATATTAAATATTCCTTATGGTGAGGTCGAATTAAAAAACTAAATCACTTTGTTAAATATTATTACAACTTATATTATATATACCTTGTGGTGACAATGAACTCTGATTATATTCTTTGTTAACTTCTACTGATTATATTATATATTCACAATGGTGACTCTATATTTAAAAATAAAATGTCTATTTTGAATTTAATTATGATTTATATTATATATTCCTTGTGGTGACGCTAATTTCAAAAATTAAAAAACTTTATATAAAATTTTATTACTATTTATATCATATATTCCTTATGGTGACACTATATTCTAAAATAAAATATCTAAGTTAATTTAGTCATGATTTATATTCTTTATGGTGACGCCAATTCAAAAATAAAATCTCTATGCTAAATCTCTATGTTGATTTGCTAAATCTCTATGTTGATTATTATAACTTATGCTATACATACCTTGTGGTGACATGAAACTGTGATTGTATTCAATGTTAAATTCATAGATCATTTTTTAAAAATTCGGAAATTGTTTCGGTAAAATATTCGGAAAAAATCTGGAATACCTTTTCCCTAATATTCCCCTTAATTTTGATTTTAGCTGAGTTGTTTCCAATTTCTTTTTTTAATTTTATTAATTCTTGTATGAGCAATGAGTAAAAAATTTAAAAAAACATCAAATATGTTACATTAAATATATTACAAAAATATATACCTAAACTTATATGTAAAGAAAACATTTTGGATATCTGTAAAAACTAAAAGTTGAGAAATATATCCGCAATTGCGGAACCATCTGGAAAAAGAGAATCCCTGTAATCATGTCTTATATTAAATATTTCTTGCAGTGAGGTTAAATTAAAAAATAAAATCTCTATGTTAAATATTATTACAACTTATATTATATATACCTTGTGGTGACATTTAACTCTGATTGTATTTCTATGTTAAATTCTACTATTTATATTATATACTCTTAATGGTGACACTATATTCAAAAATAAAATCTCTATGTTGAATTTAATTATTATTTGTTTTATATATTCCTTATGGTGACGCTTAACTCAAAAATAAAATCTCTGTGTTAAACATTATTACAACTTATATTATATATAACTTGTGGTGACAATAAACTGTGATTGTATTCATATGTTTAATTTTGTTACTATTCATATTATATATTGCTTATGGCGACACTAAATTTTAAAATATAATCTCTATGTTAAATTGTATTAATATTTATAACCTGAAAAGTTTTTATGATGCCATTTTTTACTGAAATAAATTCGTTAAAATTGTTATAAGAATAAGAATATAAATGTTAAAATAACTAATATAAATGTTAATACTGTAACTATCATTAGGTATATATACACCATGTATATATACCTAATGATTGAAATTTTCAATAAAAAATAATTTTTTTTACTTATTAGTCAAGAAGCTAAAGTAACCAATACCTATTTTATCATTAATTTTTGCTAATACAAACCCCTCTTGATCTTGTTTAGCGTTTACATACTTTGCCATTTTTGTAGCGTTTACATACTTATGCAATTTTTACTCATTTATAGAGTATTTTATTTTACATAACTTCAATTTTTTACTTATTATTTTTTAAGAGTTGTAAAATCAAAAAAAATAAGCGAACAAATAATTGGATATCACAGGGTGTCCACCTTTAAGATATTTCCGCAGAGGTACTAAATATAAAACATAAACTCTCAAACATAAACTTTTAAACATGAAAGTATTTATCTGAAATTTGATAAATAAAAATATTATTATAAAAACAAAATGTATTTAAATAATCTCAAACATTATTAAATGTTTATTGAATACTAAACAGGAAACATATATTGACAAAAAAACATTTTCCAGTTTTTCTAGCATTGGCGATGCTAAAAACTATAAACTTTCTAGTTTTCCCAGTATGTTTTTAAAAAACATTATTATGTATTATTTACTTGTTAATTTATTTTTAATTAAATAATATTATGAATAATACGATTAAAAAAATATTATATATTAGAAAAATAAGATTGTATAAAATTTTATAAAAATTACATTTTCCTGTCCTGCTTTACATTTTATTTTAATGAAATTACAATTTTTTATTTATGTATAGCATATATAATGCTGGCTGTATATAAATTACACAAATAATTATAATATAAATGTGGCATTATATATTATACAATAAAGTATTTGAATTAATTGAAATGCTTTAATTTATAATATATAATGTCACACTATATATTTTAAAACTTGTAATATTAAATTTTATTGTTATATTAAAACCTTACAATGACATTGACATATGATATAACAGTTATATTGAAAGTTATCATGTTAGATATTATATATCAATAGGCGTATATTATGCTATATTTTATCTAATGAATAGTAAAATATAAACTTGTTAATGTTAACTTTTCAGCAAACTTGTCAATCAGCAAAATTGTAAAGTTAACAATCTTAATGATAGTTTGTCATTTTATTTAATTAAATGTCACTTAATTAAGCAGTCATTAAAACTGCTACACACAAATTATATAATACTCATGTTATATTCCATTAGATTAATATATACTATTTATTTGACTCAAGTTTCTTTTTATAATAAGATTGAAATATTATTAGTTAAAATACTTTAGAATATATTATCTATTATGGCTTAGGGCATAAGAAGAATTTATAACACTATTATAAATCTAGGATCCTACTATTATAAACAGTAGGAATCCTAGATTTATATAATATAAAAAGTTTACTCAATTAGAATTATCCTTGTAGGACAAACTTAATTAAGTTAATCATATTCTTAATCATATCCATATTATATTCTTAAATATTATAACTAGTACGTTAACTTATTATTAGTATTGTCATGCATTACAATATTACTAATAAGTTATGTATTGCAAATAATTAACAATAAGTATATAATACTAACAACAAGTTATGTATTAACAATGCTATTACAATACTATTGTAATACCATTACAATACATAACTTATTTATGTATTTTTACGTAACCAAGTTATGCATGTCTTAATAAATTTTTCCAAAATCATTTTTAATAAATCATTTAAGTAATATAATTTAAAGGTTATATTATCCTTTTAATGCTCTTTGAGTATTTTATAATATAATAATACAAATTCTGCAAGTTATGTAAGTAAAATATTTTATAACAGTTTAGCTGATTAATTAGCATGATTTTAAAATAACCGTATTTCCTGTAATATAGGTTAACACATTGCCATTTATTTAATTATTAATAAATAAGTTCACAATATGTAAATAAACTCACTGCTCATTTTATAGATCTCGCTTTATCCAACAGTGCAAGTCATGCAAGGAACATGCGGCTACATAGATAGAAATATCGGAAAATAAAAATTTGTATATCTTTTCAAAGTCCATTTGCTGCTCAGGCTGCATTGTAAATTTAAATATATTACTTGAGTTGAGTAGCCTAATACGTAAGTTGCTTCAATTTTTCATAAAATGTTTGATATATATCTGTTAAAGTCCTTGAAAAAAAGTACGAAACTTGGTGTTGCCATATGGCAGCTTTTAATCGCTTACGCGAAAACTTAAATTATACATCGTGATTTTTACTGCTGAAATAACTTTTTTTTTAAATAATCAAAAGTACAATAAACTTCTTTCAGTGTTTCCTTAGACCTATATCTTTAAAAAGGCACATCGAAATATTAGTTTCATTAAGCATTTAACTCATAATTTACAAGTAAAAACGTTAAGGTGACCGTAAATAGTACCCATAACACAACTGTTGCTTTATGGTACGTTTTTTTAGCACGATTTGTCACCATTGCGCAGCTCTAGTGATTTATATATATATATATATATATATATATATATATATATATATATATATATATATATATATATATATATATATATATATATGTATATATATATATATATATATATATATATATATATATATTAATATATTAAAAAGTTACAATTTTAATATATATTAACATAGACGATATATGACAAAAACGTTTTTGAAGTTATTAACTTCATTTAATTAATTAATTGGAATAAGAGCGTAGAATTTAGAAACATTTAAAAATTTTGTAAATACTTTTAAAAACAATTATTCCTAATAAAACAAAAAACTAACAATCATATCCTTTAAATAAACCCATTCATCTGAAATAATTGTTCCATTCCAATTTTATTCCAATGATTTTGTCACACTTTTAAAAACACTCTAAAATCTAATAACTGGATATGTGAAACAATAGATAAACCATTAGATAAACCGTTTATCTAATACCCTTACAAATAACTTACAAGTTTCTTAGACAGATCTTCATCACTAATCAAGACCTTTTCAAAATCCAAAAGTTCATTAACTTGGAGAAATTTAGCAGGAAGATTACTTAAATTCATTCCAGCCACTGTTGTTTCGCGCTGTTGGTGTATTGTATTTTGGTTTTCTAACTGCTTTGTCAGCAATTTTATCACAGTGTATTGAAAGTCTAAACGAGAAAAAGTGATTATTTACCCAATAATGAAAATATATGACCCATTGAGATTTACTATTTTTTAAATTAATTTGTTTTAATTTGTTTGGAAACTTTGTTGATAAACAAAATATTTTTTATGTAGGTAACAACTAGAGATTGCTAACTAGTAGAAATAAATAGAGGTAATAATTAGTATTTTAAAGTACCACTTGAGTATGGTGATTAAAATAAGCTAATCAAAACCAGGCTTGTGGAGCGTATGGAAAAATGTGCCGTACTCTGGAAGTATGTGCTGCATAACTTATAACTTAAAATAACATTCAAAACAAAATCCTAAAATAATAAAATTTTCACCTCCAACGTCCATAGGAAAATCTTTCCGTCTAAAATGCACAGCATCTTTTCTTTTTATCGGGGTAGACTTACAGACAATTGGTGATACTGCAACTAACATAAGTCTGGAGATATTTGAATTTAAATTAGAAGATCTTGAGTCTGAGTTTGATCGAGATCGCTAACATCGTGATTGGGACCTAGACTTTGAGCAAGACTTCAAACGTAATGGGGACTTCGACTGCAAATGGGACCTTGAATGTGAATTTGACTTCGAGTGTGAACCTGACCTCAATCGTGAATGAGGCTTCGACTGATAACGTGAATGTGATCGTGAATGCAAGTTTAACCCTGATTGCAATCTTTAATGTAAACCAGGTTGTGAGTGATTTGATCTTGATGGTGGTGGTTTAACTGGGGTGGATTGTAAATGTGGTGGTGGGGCAGTTGCAATGACTTTGCATGTTGGGAATGTTGGAGGTATATTTGGAATTATTTTTCCTGTAAGGTAAAATGCAAAAAATAAAATAGATACTAACAAAAAACTAATACGAAAAAGGCAAATACCTAAAAAGTAAAAACTGGTTAAAGCTCAGGAAATAAAATATACAAACAAACAAAAAGTTCATTTGATGCTGTATATGTTAACATAACTAATAAATATCTACAATAGTACATCAACTTACCTTTATCAGAAGAAATTATTTCCACAGGTTCCGTTATTTCCTCAGTGGTCGTGTAATCTGTGCAGCCTTAACAGTCTTCTTTGTACCTTAAAAAATAGCAATAAAAAGTGATAAAAAGAATAATTTATTACCAAATAAGAAGATTCAAAACTTCCATAAACATCAAATTCACTGGTAATGTGTTTACACCCAACCTTATGAGTTTTAGTGATATAATACTTAAAAGTAAATTTACTTATATCTTCTATCTATATATTTTATTCAATTGTATATTTATATATGCTATTATTTATTTTCATGATCAAATTTTGAACATAATAAAAATCCTTGATAACTAAAAACGTTGTAATTTGGTATGCATACAACATTGGTTTAGTTTCTCTGGTATAACTACAACAAAAATATGTAAAATCACTTAAAAAACATTTAACACATACCGCTAATTTTGACTTTGATTAGAGAGAACTGTTTCCATCCAGTTTTAGGCGTTTCTAAATTTTCAAATACACGTTTTACATGCAAACCATTTGGCCAATAAACAACTTTTCTTGTTGTATCCACCCAACTTGAAGGAATTACTCTCTCAAAATCTTTTTTTATTTCCAACCAACAAGCTCTTGTATACGACATTATAGACTAAAAGAAAAAAAATCTTGATTCTATGACAAGTAAAAAGTGCAATGTAAAAAGCTTTTTAAGAGGTGTATTGGATATGATAATAACGCTTTTTCTTAGCAGAATAAGCGTTATTATAAAACTTTATTTTATTCATCTTTAGACATGCACATTGAATGACTGACGTGCAAACAAACATGATGTTGCCCCACTTTTAAAAAATAAAATAAAAACATTCTATAATAATAACTTCATTAAGACACATGCATAGCGTAGCGTAGTTTTTCACATGTTTAAAATGTTTTAAAAAATAAATAAAAATTCTATAAAGTGAAACCCTTTTCTAAAAAACGCCTTCCGCTGTATCGCTAAACCTTTTTAACGTGATACGCTCCTTCCCCATTTTGCATGACATTCTTTATGAGTGGTCCCAAATATTTTTTTAAATTTCAATTAAAACTTAACAAGATAAATGCAAACACATTATTTGTATTACCTGTATCTAGGCTCATATCTAGGTATCTATATAGGCCAGATAAATAAAATATCATATACATTACACCTCTAAATTCAAGGAGGCAATAGAAAGAGAATATTGAAAGACCTAATAACTGTTATGTTCCAAGAAGTGTTTAACAAAATTTTGTATGATAGATAATAAAAACATAAAATCATTTTAAAACCATAATAACATCACCAAACTATAAATAAAAGTAAAATTTTACATAATAAAATATTTAGAAAAAAGATGCTTAAGTTAAATAAAAACAGCTAACAAAATACTCTAAAAAAATAAATTAAAACAAACAATCTTTAATTTAAAGAATGCCCTCTCATTTATATATATATATATATATATATATATATATATATATATATATATATATATATATATATATATATATATATATATATATATATATATATATATATATATGCACCAAGTATTGGCCAAAACTGTTTACTACTGCTTTTGAATAAAGGAAGTCCATCGATATTAACTTCTAAATATATTGGATTTAGAGATAACTTATTTCCAGTATACATTTCCAGTATTATCGTTATTCCATTTAAAATACCAAGGTAAACATATTCTCATCCACTTACAGTTAAAGTCTGTATATAACGTTGGGTTTTCATCAGCGTCTTGCAATCCTTTGGTAAATTGCTATGTCCATTTTTACTGAGAATCTCTAAAAGTTCATTAAACCGTACACGTGTACATTTGTTTCGAGCAGCCCTGGAAGCTAGTTCATCAGAAAGAAAATATTCTACAACTGGGTCAACATTTTCAAAACTTATATTAGTAAGATCTTGAGAATGCAATGTACTAGTCTTATCACTTAAGATCTCAATAGGAGAATTATTAAAACTGTTATTACTAAAATGAACTGATTCAGAGTAGTGAGATTCAACTGCATTGGTAATAAACTGTACATTGTCATCGTTATCATCTTGTAGGGCCTCGTTAATTAATAAAAATGACTGATTTCACGATTATGTGCTCTCCAATTAATAATGTAAGACATCTAAAAAATAAAAATGAAAAATAATTTTCAACGACAACAACTTTCAAAGGCTACTCTCCTAAAACAAGCATGAAAAGCCATGCAAGCTGCTCCTCTAAACAGCTTTTTGCAAGAGCTTAATGATTTTTCGTGATATAACAGTTCTATTAAAAAGATTTTATCGCAAGCAAGGTCTTAAGAAATAAATTAATTTGAAATTTACATAATAGAATAATAAGAAAATTATTTTAATTCTCTTACAATACCGTAGTTATTGTTAAAAGACTAGTGCCCTGAAGAAAGAAAAATCAAAATAAATATTTTTTTATTATTTAAATTATTAATCTAAACTTTACAAGTGCATTTATCTCATAATAAAAATATATTTTATTCCTGGTAAAGTTTACAACCTTTAATTAAAAGAACTAGCCTAACTTTTTATTTTTGTTCTCATAAACTAATTTTGGGGAGTGTGGACAAGAGCAAGAGCTCAGTCAATTCTTGAAGTTTTAACGACGTTAAAACACCAAGAATTTAAAGCACTTAGGCAATGACGTTTTCGCGCAGTTAAAACATTTTAAAAGTTTTTTCGTGGATAATAAAAGTTAGTAGAAACTTAAAACTTTAAAATTAGCTTGGGGGCTTGATGCCCCCAAATTCCAAAAAGTTGATTAAACAAACAAATAACATTGATCAGATAAAAAAATCAATGTTTTGATTTTATAAACGTTACACAGATATAGTTTAATGAAAAAAAAATGAATACTTTTAGAAATAGTGAAATTACATATATATGTATATATATAAATATATATATATATATATATATATATATATATATATATATATATATATATATATATATATATATATATATATATATATATATATATATATATATATATATATATATATATATATATATATATATTATATATATATATAAATATATATATATATATATATATATATATATATATATATATATATATATATATATATATATATATAGATATATATTATATGTATATATATCTATTTATATATCTATCAATATTGTTATTAAGTATTTCATTAATTAAAACAAATAAAAAAAATATACTTACTCTTGCTTGTTAAAAATATACACACTTTATGATTTTTTAATGTTCAATTACAATTTTAAAGGTAACTTGCTTCCTGGTCATTAATAAACCATAAAGTATGTTTTGGCACAACTTAAACGCAAAATAGCACACAATGTATTAATGTTTTTTTTTTGTCAATATACGTCGTAAGACATCGCACGATGTCAATACAACGTCGGTTAAACGACATTGTTCCGACGTTGTTATATTGACGTTGTTCCGATGTTGTTTTAGGTCGGCCGACGTCGCTGATGAAAATACAACGTAAACCCAACGTCGAATTGACGTCGGGTGCCCACTGGGTGATTGTTGATCGTTTCTACTAAACTCTGGAATTAACTTTAAATCAACTTTAGTCGATATTTTGGCCGAAATAGTTTGTAGTTTCACATCAAAATTGACTTTGTAAAATAGCCTTAAAACACCTCATATTTTCTCATGGAATTTAACATAATTTATATACAATCATATTCTTTTGGTATTTACAACTATGACTGAATATTATATCCAACTATTTACAATTAACGCTAATCGGCGGTTAACAATCATAAAATATAATTACACTTTGCAGAAATATTATGAAACAAACATATATTAACTTATCAATCTAAAATATCTAAACATATCTATATATCTATTTAAACATTTTTATATATTTTTAAATGAAAATCTAAATATATCTATATATCTAAATTTATATATCTATATACCTATACACCTAACTGGTTTAGAAAAGAAATAAACATAGAAGCTAAGCTAAGGTTTAAATACAAAATATTGTATTGTAAGTAGTAAAACAAATAAAATAATTTAAAAAAATAAGAAAAAGATTTAAAAAAATCTATAACTAAGTATTAAAGAGTAAAACTATTCTATAAATAAAAAAAAATGACATGCCAACTATTACAATCAAAAACTAACTAACATGTTACATCAAATCAACCACATAATGCTAATATCTTTTATAATTTGAAATACCTTTTTTTAAATATTTAAAGAGAATAATACACAGGTGGTTGCACCTCAAAAGAGCCTAGAATTTTTTTTTTTTTAATAATAATTTTAAAATTACTATTATTGAAAGATAAGCCTAAATGGGGTTCTTCCTGAGGTATGGTTTATTACGTCTCGCTTGTTTCCTTTTGCTTGAGTTTTGAAGCTGACTCTGTTTTTTACCATGCACCCCAAAAATCACATTAACT